CAAATGATTAATGCGGCATGAAATAATTAAAATGTCAATTCTATCAAATATCCAAATTTCAAGGTTGAAAACAGCAAAAAAGCCAAGTAATGTGGAAGATGAATGCAAAAATTTGCAAGCTAATTCTTTACACCATTAAATCAGTTTGAAACAAGTACTATAAGATATAGCACAACTGGAATATACCGATGATCGGCATCGTCATATTACACATATGGGCAAACGATTTATTAGTTCTATGAAGCCGACTAAAATCCACATAATTTAATACTAACTGAGTTAACTGGTAAACATTTAGTATGGTTTATCGGCAGATTAAAATGAATTGTATTATAGTGACGTACTAGTGACGTCATTAATTACTCTATATAATAGGAGGACTTAATGAAATTTATCATTCTGTTTATGACACTGCTATAAGCGTATAAGCCGACACTGCATTTTGGCGACGAGGATTCATGGTCTATGAGTTTAAAAGAAACTCGGAACGGTAAAAATAGACTTCCTCTGAGAGGAAACAATGGATCAACATATTACCTAGTTTTACTTTTGTTGCTATTCTCTATATTTTCGTAATCAGATTTTGGTATATCCAGTCATATGTTATCGTGCAAACATTGCTTGGAAATCGGCCGGGTATTGATACCATTTAAAGATTGAGACCAAATTTGAGACTTAACGTCAGATAAACTACCTGGAATATATAGAGGAACTACGACATGTTCTCAGACTCAGTCTCTTTTTCCACTCAGTCTCTTTTTCCAACTTACTGAAATCACATGCATTTTCTCCTTTACGAATATTGACACGATATGATCCGTGAGTCGTCTCATTGAGACCTTTGATTGCATTATGCGGACAAACATGACGCATGTGAAAAATCGCGAGAAAACCCTGCTTTCCTGTCCCCACATCACGGGTATGCGAATATTCGTGGGGTTATACTTCCTGCCGGACGACTCGTTTTCATCATGGCACTATCGTATAAACACGCAGTCCTATTAAATACAATCGCGACTATACTAAGTCACGCTAGCTGATCTATGACAATCATATAGTCAGCTATTTCCGTCACGATGTCAATAAAGATTAACTAGTAAATTACTAAGATAGACCTAACATACCTTTGAACTATCTACTTTGAAAGCTACGGGTCTCGGTTCATTATTTATGGGGGGGGAGGGGGTAAAATAATGGGAGTGTAAACTATTTTCTATGTGTGTAAAAGAGGGGGTTAAACATTTATAAGAAGTGTTTCGGCGAGTCAATAAAATTTCATAGCATTCACATAAAGAAGATGATATACAAAAATATAATGCAGTTACCGATACAGTCAACACCGACATCTTTATAGTGGCCACAGTTGTGTACATTCCACCCACGGTGACTGCAATCCCATATGAATGATTCTTTGCCAGTGCACTTCACATCGTCAAGCAATATTGAACCAGCTCCGCTACCATAGTAAACTCCCCTACTTGTCCCGCTCACTCCAGTGAAACCCAACTGACGACAGATAACGCGACTGTCGGTATCATCCCACTCATCACTACAGACGGTACCCCAGCCAAAGGAAGGATGAAATATTTCAACTCTCCCTGTTTTGTTGTTCGTTGTACTTGCCAATCTCATCTGTAGGTCCGATTTAGCTATAACAAAAGAGATTACATGTAATTACAGCAAATAATATTTATGTTGACAACACCGTGTGACATCACGAAATAAGAATTCAATAGTAATTAATGCAGGATCGGAGCAAAATTAATGATGACCAAATTAATTAAAAAGGGATTAACTCTAGTCATTTAAAAATCTGAGAACTTTAACTCACACCCTAACTATATAAAACGAAACAATAACGCGATCATCACAAAAGCCAGATTCAGTTATTGTTTTGTTATAGACCACGTTATAATTTATAATCCATTGATAAACTAGGACTTGAATTCTATCACAAGGGATATTGTTTAGAGTGTAGAGTATACAAGGCAGTTTTAATACTATGGAGTGCTGGGGTATTAGCCCCACTAGGCCCCTTCCTCTGCCCCACCACTAAAGAAAAAAATGGCCTATTGCCCGAAGTCCAGGGCCCTAGGACTTATATTGAGTAGCTAAATAAGTTTAACATTGTAAAAAATTTTTTTAAAAAATTGGTGGTTTTGAGCATTCTTAAACTTATGTTGTGCGTGAATGTTTAGCATGCAATTTATCACCATTTAAGCTTTGTTTTGAGAAGCTGAGGTTTATTTTAAATTTTGTTCTCAAAATTCTGGAAATGCTATTTCAGAGACCCAAATTTTAATGCTTCCAGACCCCCTAGCTAGCTCGTGCCGGCGGTACTAGGCTCACATCTTTGGCGATCACATACTATTTTTAGGGGAGGACAAGAAAAATGGCACTTTGGCAGTTTTGCCCCACCACTGAAAAATTCTTAGAAAATTCAGTGAGAGTATAAAAACAAATTATAACAAGAATTAACAATGATACATTAAAATTGTGATTTACGTAATATTTCAAATCCGAGTTAGTGTTTTAGACGTGGTTTCTAAATACAAGTGCCATGAACAATGGCGAGGCGCAGCCGAGCCATTATTCATGGCACTGGGGATTTGGAAGCCAAGTTTAAAACACTAACGAGGATTTGAAATTGCTTCTCACACATCATTAGATATTCATAGCAATGAGGCAGTAACAATAGCGAATTAAGTTGTTCAATGAGGTGAATGCGTAACGAAGGAACGAATTAAAGACGTTGTTGTTGTAGTATTTGTTCGCCTTCGAAGGAAGCATGGCATCTAGTTGCAAAAAGAGGAGATTTCGGGATCCTCAACGCGCGGAAAGAAGCATTGACAACGTGCGAAATGCTATTCCACAAACAACGCGTTATAAAAATCGTTGGGGAGTTCGTATATTTGAAAATTGGCAAAGTGGGCGAGAAAATAAAGCAGTCATGTGTGAGAGCAATCCTTTCAGCTTAGATTTGCAGAATTTGCAAAATTTGGAGACAGAATTGTGTTCAATGACCGCAAGAACGTTAAACTTCTGGCTTATCAAATTTGTTCAAGAAGTTTGCGACAAGGATGGCAAGCCATCTCCCGGGCGTACAGTATACCAAATTATATGCTCGTTGAAACGACATCTAGACGAAAATGGCCGGGCTGAAGCTAACATGTTAAATGCTAACAATCACTGGTAGGTTGAATTTGTTCATTTTTAATTAATGGTTTAGTTTAATTTATTGTAATATGAGCATGTTTATTACTCAGTTTCCAGACGTTCAGAAGAGTGCTGGATAGTGAAATGAAAGCCACCCACTGGGAAGGCGAATCGCTTGCCGAGAATCGTACAAGACGAGAGAAAGAAGCTATTACAGATGATGAAGAAGGTTTGCTGTGGTCAGAAGGCTTGCTGGGAGACAAAACTGTTCAAAGTTTGGTTTACACAATTTATTTCTATATCGGAAAAATATTCGGATTAAGAGCATGTGAACACAGACAGTTAAGATTAAGCAACCCTGTCATAGAGAACAACAAAATTTGTTATCGAGAAAACATTTCGAAAACGTTTCATGGAGGATTGAAAGATTTAAAGAAGAAACCTAGAATTGTGACTCATTATTGTCACGAGGATGAGGAAAGTGTGCATGAACCATGTCTGGTTCAAATGTTTCAGCAGTACATTTCCTTGGTCAGCGAGTTACCGAAAATTAATGAATCATTCTATTTTCGACCGAGCAAAACAGCGTATAAATTCGAAAATGCACCAGTTGGTATTCATAAGCTTAATTCTATCGTGCCTTTCAGTGGCGGCGCCACTGAAAGGCACGATAGAAAAAAATTATTAGTCACTAAGAGCGACTAAAGGCTACACAAGCGTTCTGTCGTTATCGGAAAATGTATGGCTTATAAGTTGTTATTACTCATTAGTGAATGCGCGTATACATGAAACTGTTTTTTACAGTTTCAATATTAGTTTGTAAATCTCTGAATTGTAAAACTTGCCAATACTCCAATAATACGTTTCAAAAAAAGACAAAAAAGCTTTAGTTTTGCAGAGTTAAATTCTCAAACGTGTAAGGCAATAATAAGATGAAACTGCGAGTATTTGAATAAACCACATCGCGTATATGGGGGCGAATGTCCTAAAGAGGGGCGATATTCCTAGGGTATTCGCCCCACCCCCTGGGAGGCGATATTCCTAGGATATTCGCCCCCCGGGGGCAATATTCCTAGGAGGGGGGGGCGAATTGAGATTACGCTAGCTCTAGGATAGGATTACGCTCTAGAGACCTCCGCTTTATTTCAAGCATAAATAAGTATTTTTGGAAGCTTTTGAACCACGTATTCTATTAAATTAAAGCTAAAGACCTTGTGGATCTATTTATCGTATTCCGGAATTGGATTTATATTGTGGTGTAAAGTTATTTTGGATCGTCTTATCGTATTGTGTACATTGTTGTTGTGTCACATGCTGCGAAGCTG